GGCAATAATAGATTAGGAGATGGATTCCCACAGCTCATTTACATCCGGTCGATGAAGAGTTTCTTGTTCAAGCAAGATTGAAAGTCGACATGAATAGATTGGAAGATGGATTCCCACAGCCAATTTACATCCGGTAGATGAAGAGCTTCTTGTTTAAGCAGGATTGAGAGTCGATAGAGAAATTTCTGGGCCGTCCGTTGTGACTGCAACTTCTCGACACATTGCACAGGGGCGCATGCAGACCTTAGCTGCAACAGGGTAAGGGATCCAAGGCGATGTTTGCTTCTCGGATAGAACGCTCGAAGCGAATCCTCCGACTATCACACAGTGATCAATTTGGTCCTGCTTTCTTTGATCGAGGGACACCCAAGCAGTGTTGGTACATGTAGGGAAAATTCCCTACTCGTAGGTATTTTAGTCGAAAAAAATTAGTGTAAAAAAAGGACAGTTTTTTATAAATAAGTTAAATGTAAGGATTTTTCGAATCTAAATTTTTATGCAAAAAAATGTGTTTCGCTGAAAATGCAAACATGCAGATAAGTTTACGTTTTTTTCAAGCTATCGTCGACAGCTAATTTTTACACAAGTTGGCGCGTGTTCGTTTTGTACATTTTCATCAATTTTGGCAAATTTGCTGCATTGTACAATTTTTGAGGGTAAGGTGCTTCAATAGCACAGCCCATTTGATATTTCATGAGCACTCAATCCGATTTTTGTGGCCTCAGTAGCTATTTGGGCGTACACTTGATAAAGCCGAAATTTAAAGTTAAACAAAATGTATTGTTTTTTTTTTTTTACATATCGCTTATTTACTTCAATAGTATCATAATTCGAAAAAAGGAAACTCGAGAAAAACGGCTTTAAAGTTAGTGAGATACTGGAAATCATTACAGCTTTCATAGCATTTTTACACAACAAAGCAGAAGAGGTAGCGGTAATTTCTGCATACTTAGCTCAATATATGTATTTTTTATGACACTATTGAATTAAATGAGCGATATGTACATATATGTGGCCCTGTGGAATAACGACACAACTAAAAAAACCCTCAATCCTGTTAAGGGCTTATGTCTCTAATCCTTGTGTAATCTTAACCAAGGTAAGAAGTAAGGATTAATAATGTATGTAGTAAAGATTAGACGTGGATTAGACAAAGAAGTGTTTTTTTTTTAGTTGTGTCGTTATTCCAGAGGATTTAAGATATGCCATACGTTTTTTCAGATTGGTTCTTGTGTGGGAATTATTGCGAATTTTGCGAAATGTTTCGGTTGCTGAAATTCGAAACGCTATATTTTCCATCACCAATGGAAAAATTTATTTATGCAAACGGGTATGGAAGGTTCGCACACGCGCAAATGGGAAAAACATAGTCCGGTTTATTTTTGTTTACGCCTACTGCGTGAGTTATACTTTTTAAGAAACAAAGAAGTGTTTTAGTTCATTTGTTTTACAGCCATTTTGTTGTAAATCGAAAAGTTGCCATCGTATAATTACAAGTTACCACGGCCGTAGAGAGGCATTCCGGGACCGGGGGGAATCTCGAACACACCTCCCCCTCCCCACACAAAAAATTTGTTTTCGTTTTTTTTAGATGAGAAAAATAATAATACGAATATCGTAGTAAACTGCCGTCCAACGTATCAAAGTGGTTAACTAAATAAGAAACCCATTGCAACTACGGCTTTTATTGATTTGAACGGTAATGATGTATCGACGAGAACATGTTTACATGCAGAATTTGAAATAAATTATTATTATTGTCCATACAAAGTGTTCGAGTATAGTTAAATTAACATTTCGCAGAAATTTAAAAATTTGATTGGTTGGATGACGGCGAGGGGAGGACGAAAGCAGATCAATCGTACATACATATGTATGTACATAAATATGTACATATATCAGTCATGCCCAAAGCTGGCGGAATTCCATAAGCAAGTACCCCGCCCTCTCTAAATTTTGGTTTTAAATTTTCCAAATATATACTGGATTAGGTGTCTTTTAGGTGTTCTTCAATGCCATAAACACTAATTTAGAGCTCCATTTGTTTCCGAGAGATTCACAAAATTTTCCAAATATATGCCGGAATTAGGTGTATTTTAGGTGTTCTTCAACGCCACCAGAACTAATTGAGGAGCTCCATTGGTTTCCGAGAAATTCGCAAAAATGTGTGTTTTCAGCTAGCTTACGTAGACCCAGCTGACCCATCTTTAAATTTTGGTTTTAAATTTTCCAGATATATGCTGAAATTAGGTGTTCTTCAACGCCAAAAAGTCTAATTTAGTAGCGCCATTGGTTTCCGAGAAATTCGCAAAAATGGTTTTTCAGCTAGCTCAGTGCTGTTAACCTAGCTGACCAATCTTTAAATTTTTGTTTTTAATTTTCGAAATATATACAGGAATTAGGTGTCTTTTAGGTGTTCTTCAACGCCGCCAAAACTAATTTAGGAGCTCCATTAGTTTCCGAGAAATTCGCAAAATTTTCCAAATATATACTGGAATTAGGTGTCTTTTAGGTGTTCTTCAACGCCACTAGAACTAATTGAGGAGCTCCATTGGCTTCCCAGAAATTCGCAAAAATGCGTGTTTTCAGCTAGCTTACGTAAATCCAGCTGACCCATCTTTAAATTTTGGTTTTAAATTTTCCAAATATATGCTGAAATTAGGTGTTCTTCAACGCCAAAAAGTCGAATTTAGTAGCGCCATTGGTTTCCGAGAAATTCGCAAAAATGTGTGTTTTCAGCTAGCTTAGCGCTGTTAACCCAGCTGAACAATCTTTAAATTTTTGTTTTTGTTGTTTGCGTACATATATGCTGGAATTAGGTGTTCTTCAACGCCACCTAAACTAATTTAGGAGCTCCATTTGATTCCCTTCATTTGTGCTTGAATCGCTATTTTAAATTACTCTCGCTTTTTTATATAGGCCGAACCCATTAGCCGCTGCATCCACAATACCCTTCGTTCCCCTAATTGCAAGGAAGACAATGTTGTCACCATTAAGCTATTTCAATAAAAAAGTTTTACGGATATCTTAAATTTTTGTTTGTTTTATATGACCTTTTAACCCCTATATTCAACAATTTTTATCGCTCTTGAGGACGTTTATAATGAAAAAATGTTGTCGAAAAACAATAATTTACCCATAGGTATAATTTACATAATACATAATTTACGAGGACAAAACGAAGTATCTCCTGTCATCCGACAAACAGTCAGAGCATACGCGTCTTGGCACCCACGTCACTGTTGAAAGTTACAAGTTTGAAAAAGTAGACGACTTCGTTTATTTGGGAACCAGCATTAACACCAATAATAATGTCAGCCTTAAACTCTTGCCAACAAGTGCTACTTTGGGCTGAGTAGGCAATTGAGAAGTAAAGTCCTCTCTCGTCGTACAAAGATCACACTCCATAAGTCACTCATCATGCCTGTGCTGGTGTATGGCGCGGCGGCATGGACAATAAAAGCATCTGATGAGGCGGCTCTTGGAGTTGGACCTTTACGCGTTGGCGATGGCGAATCTCGCAGACGATTTAACGATGAGCTGTATGAGCTTTACAACGATATAGACATAGTGCAGCGAATTAAAATTCAGCGGCTCCGCTGGCTTGGCCATGTCGTTCGAATGGACAGAAACGCTCCTGCTCTGAAAATATTCAACGCGGGCCGCGATGCTGGTAACAGAGGAAGAGGAAGGCCTCCTCTGCGTTGGAAAGACCAGGTTGAGAAGGACTTGGCTTCACTTGGCATTTCCAATTGGCGTCAGTTAGCACAGAAGAGAAATGACTGGCGTGCTGTTTTGGACTCGGCCAAAATCGCTTAGGCGGTTACAGCACCAATAAAGAAGAAGAAGATAATTTACATGTTCTATCACCACATCTCCTCATCAGACTTCTTCACCGCAGTCACTGGGATATGAACCATTAGAAACGGCTTCAAACTAAATAAAAATTGTTGAGATTTTAAAATATTTTTTACCATTATTATCTCAAACCAAATGATGGCAAATTTTTTTTGTATATTTCCCTCCAACAGGGGATAATTCATGTTATTCATAGTAAGATCGCCTTTTATAGAAATCTCTGAATGAATTTTGTCCACTTAGTTTGTTCCACATGATATACTGTGCATCGATATGTACACATACAACGTAATATTAGTGGTATTCGCGCTTCTGTGTATTCGCTGTATCCTGCCTAAGTGTAACTGGACGAGCTTGTGGTTGTTGTTGCATGTGTATTTCATGTACCGCTAGCAACAACAAATCACATGCTCATGCAGTTACGATTACACAACATACAACGAATACACATAAGAGCGAATTCCACTATTATTATAAATTTTCTAAGCATTGAACATTCCTTGTTTTATATAGTCAAACTTTTTTCGGTCTTCTTTTATGTTGGGTAAAAATAGTAGGGGATTTTGTGAGGAAACATATTTAAAAGCGTAGGGAAATGTGAAGATTCTATTTTTGTTGAGTGAGAATTTTCCAAAAAAGTATTAAACATCACTGCACCGAAGTAGCTTTTAGAATGTTTCGTTGCTGGTGTGTGGTACTACTAAGCACCATGTTCCGTGCCGCAGCGAAGTCGATCAGCCTCTCTCCGTTGTCAGAGCCCAGATACATATACGTAAATCGTGGTCCTTATATTGGTAAGCAAGGATCGTCAACGTTTGGGCGCCCAGCTATTCGAGGCACTTCCGGTCTTTTCATTGGTTTTTATTTTTTTTTACGTGGCGTGCCGCAAGCCAAGCGCACAACCCATTGCTGGGATTTTATTGCTGACTGGTGATGGCTTCTTTAGTTATCCAACAGAACTAATCGAAATTCGCTAAAATATTCTACATATGAAATTATTATGAACCTTAACAATTTTGTACAACAAAAACATCTTTTTCGTTTTCTGCGTTGTTAATTTTTCTTTTCTTTTTTTGCTCTCTTAACATACTTAAATGTTATCTATTCATATTAAAAATAATAACTTCTCGTTAACCTTTCAGAAACAGAGATGAGCAACAGTAGTGATTCTATAAATAACTGCCAAAATGCTGATTTTATATTCCGCAACCCGTGTTCGTATAGTTCACCAGTGGTTGAACAAGAAGATGTGGACGACAGGGATGATGATATGACTTTTTGCATGTCAAATTACGCCAAAGAAGTTTTAAAAATGATGTTTATGATGCGCTCGCATAATATGCTTACGGATGTCATATTAGAAGTGAAGCAGGAATTATTTCCAGCACACAAAGTCGTTTTGTCAGCAGCATCTCCATATTTTAAAGCTATGTTTACCGGCGGATTAAAAGAATCGGAGATGTCACGAGTTCAACTGCAAGGAGTATGTATAAAACTATAATATAAAACAGTGCCGGCCACACTAATCCTAAAACATCTGCATGACTGTGTGTGCCAAGCGCGTGAGAAGCGAAAGCATAACTTCGTGCATACACATCGTTAGCGTTGGTGTGAAAGCGCTAACGAAAAACTACACAATGTGCAAGTTTTGGCCGGCATTGATATACAATTTAAAGACCTTTTTAATAATTACCAATTATTTTCCAAATTGAAGGTTTGCCCCACGGCAATGGGTCGTATAATATATTTCATGTATACAGGCCACATACGTGTTACAGAAGTAACGGTCTGCCAATTACTGCCTGCTGCAACGATGTTTCAAGTACCAAACGTAATTAATGCGTGTTGTGCCTTCTTAGAGAGACAATTAGATCCAACAAATGCTATTGGTATAGCAAACTTCGCCGAACAGCATGGGTGCTCAGAGCTTCAAAGGAAGGCTAACCATTTTATAGAAAGGCATTTTACACAGGTAATTAATGCCATTAGAGTAAGCATTCCAACGTGACAGCGGGAACATTTTAACTAATTTTTGTTCAAACTTAAGTAATTTCTCTTTGACCATTCATATGACAAGTTTCAAACTATTAATACTTGAAGTCAGATATCAAATTATTTCGAAACCACATTAAGTGAAATATTTATGGTTTGTCTAAAATTGGGAAAATACTTTATAATGTGATATCCAATAGGCATTAGATAGATATAGACATAGTGCAGCGAATTAAAATTCAGCGGCTCCGCTGGCTTGGCCATGTCGTTCGAATGGACAGAAACGCTCCTGCTCTGACAGACCTACTCTGCGTTGGAAAGACCATGTGGAGAAGAACTTGGCTTCACTTACCATTTCCAATTGGCGTCAGTTAGCACAGAAGAATTACTGGCGTGGCTTGGACTCGGCCAAAATCGCTTAGGCGGTTACAGCGCCAATAAAGAAGAAGAATAGGCTTTTGTTTTTGAACGCTGGCAACTTTTAGCCATAAGTGTATTTGTGTAATAACTCACCACTGTTTTAAAGTCTATGAAGTGTACTTTCTTTTTATATCCGAGCGCACTTGTGCACAAGGGTATTATAACTTTGTTCGCATTGCGGTTGTTTGTAACAGCCTAAAGGAATCGAGATAGATATAGACAAATGTATACATAAATGATCAAAATGAAAAGGGAAGTCGATGAAGTCATATCTGTCTGTCCGTGCGTCCGTCCGTCGAGCAAAAATTTAGATATTTCAACGAAATTTCGTATGTAGGTTGCCTTTTATCCAAGGTAGGTTGGTATTGAAAATGGGTAAAATTGGACTATAACCACGCCCACTTTTCATATCACGGTATTATCGAAATTTTAGTAAATATTGGATCCAAATTTTTGAAGTAGAATTTTGATACAAAATAATAGTTATGAAATTGTATGATGAAATGCTGTATCTCAATAGCCGCTTCACCAATCCTTACCAAACCCACTTTTCATATAACGGTATATTCGAACTTTAAGTAAATATTGGATCCAAATTTTTGAAGTGTTGTACATATTGTAATCGATAACTCTAAGCTGAAATGTATATCGGTTGACAAAAGCTTATCGCTAATAAAATCNATTGCGGTTGTTTGTAACAGCCAAAACGAATCGAGATAGATATAGACAAATGTATACATAAATGATCAAAATGAAAAGGGAAGTCGATGAAGTCATATCTGTCTGTCCGTGCGTCCGTCCGTCGAGCAAAAATTTAGATATTTCAACGAAATTTCGTATGTAGGTTGCCTTTTATCCAAGGTAGGTTGGTATTGAAAATGGGTAAAATTGGACTATAACCACGCCCACTTTTCATATCACGGTATTTTCGAAAGTTTAGTAAATATTGGATCCAAATTTTTGAAGTAGAATTTTGATACAAAATAATAGTTATGAAATTGTATGATGAAATGCTGTATCTCAATAGCCGCTTCACCAATCCTTACCAAACCCACTTTTCATATAACGGTATATTCGAACTTTAAGTAAATATTGGATCCAAATTTTTGAAGTGTTGTACATATTGTAATCGATAACTCTAAGCTGAAATGTTTATCGGTTGACAAAAGCTTATCGCTAATAAAATCTTCACTCTCTCATCTCCTTTTGCCAAATAGTAAGGCTATCTGCACACTTGTCGTCCAATCATAGTTGCGTTATCGTCTCGCCCTGAAATTTTGAGCCGAGCACATGCATTTCAAAGGAGATCTGCACACTTGTCGTTATCGGCTAGTTATCGGCAAATCGTAGAAGATGCAGAAACGGATAAGTACGGCACTGTGAANAGCATTCAGCTCAAAATATCATACTGGCTGCTTATGTTGACGATATTTTGATTTTCAGCGGTAACAATACAATGATAACAAAACTCAAAAAGGATCTGTCTAAGCACTTTAAAATGAAAGACATGGGAGCTGCAACGTCTGTGCTTGGGATTAACATCACTCGAAATCATGATGGATCAATCTCCATTGACCAAAAGCGATACTTGTCAGATATCTTACGTCGATTTAATATGCAAGATAGCAACCCGGTAGCTACCCCAATGGATCCAAATCAACGTCTATCAAAGGANGAAAAAGTTAATATTTGCATTAAAATTGTATAAATTAGTATTTTTTTGCATAAAATCTGTGGAAATTATTAAAAAGTGGATAATTGCATTAAAATTTAATAAATATGAGCGTTTTAACTATAAAATATGACGAAATTGTATTAAGTCTCTGTGTGCATACACAAAACACATTCCAGGAAAAGAAAAGAAGAGATATTACTGGAAAATTACGTCTAGAAATGTTGCAGCACAGTCTATATTTAAAAAATTGCAGGTTTTTGTAAATATTTCGCGAAAATATCAACCAAAAAAAACAGAAAATACCTGCTCCAAGTGAATTTTTAGACGCCAAATGAATTGAAATATCACGACCAAGTGTGCAGAAGTGTAATCGTCATGTAATCGTTGCTTCATGACGATAACTATGACTCAACTATGATTGGACGACCAATGAGCAGAAAGCCTAAGACGTGCATTTTATTTCCTCATTATAAAATAAATTAATTACTAATATGCAAGATAGCAACCCGGTAGCTACCCCAATGGATCCAAATCAACGTCTATCAAAGGATTTGTGTCCAAAAACCGAGAAGGAGAAGCAGGTGATGGCGTTGATACCCTATCAAGAAGCGATCGGCTGAATTGTGTACGCTGCACAAATCAACCGTCCCGATATCGGTTTTGCGGTAAGCTCACTCAGCCTATTCAACACATGCCATGGTAAGGCGCACTAGGAGGCAGTCAAGCGAGTGCTTCGCTATCTAAAGGGCACAATTGACATGAAGCTGACTTACCGCAAAGACAGCGCTGGTCAATTAACTGGTTATTGTGATGCGGACTGGGCTGGCGACCAAGATGAACGTCGTTAAACATCTGGCTATGTTTTCCATCTACAAGGAGGCGCTATTTCGTGGGCCACTCGTAAGCAGCCTACGATTGCCTTGTCGTCCANGTCTACAAGGAGGCTATTTCGCTATTTCGTGGGCCACTCGTAAGCAGCCTACGATTGCCTTGTCGTCCACGGAAGCTGAGTTTATGTCTCTTGTTGCGGCAATACAAGAAGCACTCTGGCTTAAACGTTTTGAGGGAGAACTCTTTAGGGACGTCCCGAGGTCAAAACAAGTTTTCTGCGGTAATCAAGGCGCTATAAAACTAGCCATGAACAACAATTTTCACGCACGAACCAAACACATTGACGCGAAAACTTACTTCATACGCGAAAAGCTTACACAAGGCTTGATTAAATTAGACTATCTCAATACAAACAAAATGATCGCTGACATCATGACTAAGCCTGTAAATAATTCAAAATTGACTCAGTTTATTAACCAATATGGTTTATCATAAGATTTAAATTAACAGCCGTATTCTAGCAANTTATTGTGATGCGGACTGGGCTGGCGACCAAGATGAACGTCGTTAAACATCTGGCTATGTTTTCCGTCTACAAGGAGGCTATTTCGCTATTTCGTGGGCCACTCGTAAGCAGCCTACGATTGCCTTGTCGTCCACGGAAGCTGAGTTTATGTCTCTTGTTGCGGCAATACAAGAAGCACTCTGGCTTAAACGTTTTGAGGGAGAACTCTTTAGGGACGTCCCGAGGTCAAAACAAGTTTTCTGCGGTAATCAAGGCGCTATAAAACTAGCCATGAACAACAATTTTCACGCACGAACCAAACACATTGACGCGAAAACTTACTTCATACGCGAAAAGCTTACACAAGGCTTGATTAAATTAGACTATCTCAATACAAACAAAATGATCGCTGACATCATGACTAAGCCTGTAAATAATTCAAAATTGACTCAGTTTATTAACCAATATGGTTTATCATAAGATTTAAATTAACAGCCGTATTCTAGCAAAGTCACAAACTTTAGCTCATCACTGCTGTGATTTCTACTGCGCCTCAAAGCTTGCCGCTGCAATAAATATGCCGCTACAATACAAATTTTTAAATTTTTGTGTATTTTTCTAGTACTCAAAATCGAATTTTTTGTGACACATTTCTCGGCGCACTAGAAATTACAACAGTGATGAGCTGAGTTTTGTGACTCTCTTAAGGTATTGGCCCAATGCAGGCTTGCTTTGCTTGCCTCGCTTTGAGAACTGTCAAAAGTTATTTGGAATATACTAAAATGTATGAAGGCTGGCCAAATGGCAGCTTTGCTTCACTTGCTTTAAGCGCCTCAAAGTTTCAAATAGCAAATGTTTTATTTGAAAGCGTTTCGTAGGCTTTTGACAAAAAGGTATGTTCCCGTTCTAAATCAATTCAAACAAACTGCTGCACACTTTTATGTACACAATTTTTTTTACGTAATTAAAAAAAATATATATAATATAAGTTATTCAAAGTTTATTAAAAATGATTATATGTTTCCGTATTTATATTTAACATATCGCCGGCTGAAAAGTTGCTAAGTCCATTTTTACAAATTTTACAGGAACTTTGAATACAACATTTTGCGTGTTTAAAGCAAAGCAAAACTCCATACGAATCAAAAGGATTCGATCTTTATTAAAAGATTTCGTATTATTTTGGCCTTATCGGATTTTCGGGGCCTCTTCTGGACTTAGAAAATTTGCCTTTCATTGAATATAAATAAGAAANGGGCCTCTTCTGGACTTAGAAAATTTATATTCATTGAATATAAATAAGAAAAAATAAAATAAGTACATTAATCCTTAATTTCTCATGCTAGCTAGCGATATTTATGATGTCAAACTACTGGTCAGTCGTCTCTTGAAGAATTGGATTTTTTTTTGTTTTTAATAAATGTACCTATAGTTATATATGTATAATTATTATCATTCCTTTGAAATGCATTCAAATTCGCATCAATTCAAAAATAAATCAGAAAAGATTGTTTGTATTTTTTTTAGTTTTCTGGAATTTTGTGGGAAA